TCCTCTCCGTGCTCATATTAATGTTTTTCACTACCAGCTGTGAGGTGTTTAATAACACAGATGTGCCTCAAAAATGGCTACAGATTGAGAGCTATTGCAGCCATTTCACCGACATAAAAAAGAAAGAAGACACACTAAAACACACACACACTGACGTACAGCGGGAGAGTGGATAATAAAAAAGAAAGGGGAATTATATTGTCCTTGGGAAGAGATAATAAAAACGTTAGAAATGAGATTGATGTTTGGTGCCCCCTGGTGTTTAGTAGCTGCTAAGTCAGGTTACATAGAAATTTACCAACAAGATAGGGGAAAAGCAATTGTTTAATTTGGAATCAATTATTCTAAGCTCGAGGACAAGGTGAAGTCATCAGTGCGTGATTTGAAGCTAGGATGGTGTCCCTGTGTTCAATTTCAGCCCTTCTAGCCATCACAACAGTGTAACCCTCCCTGACATTAACAAATACAGCTGGTGCACTGACCTGACACATTTCAAACATGGACTAAACATTTATTTTCTTGTGAAGTCTTCAATCATATGTTGGTTTCCTAACTTGGCACTCGGTCCTTGTGAGCTTAGAGAACCCCCAGTATAAAGATTTCAATGCTGATATATATTTTTCAACTTTCGGCAGATGTAAGCCAGACTCAGACTCAAGATTGATAGAGGAACACAAACAATATCCAGTTGAAAAGAATAAAAAAAATAATGATACAGAAGACACAGAAGGGCTTAACTGGAGGCTGAGTGGGGTTTTCCATCCTGCTTAGGGCCCCCAGAAGATGTGAGGAAGTCATGATTGACTCTTTGTTTAATTTCTTTGCCCTTCTTGAAAAATAAACGCATGACAAAAGACTGTGAAATCATGGATTTAGGACATCTGTGACTGAGTGTGTCAATCATTTGGAAAAGGAGAAGAGAAGACTTGCCCTGTAAATAAACACTTACCGCTCTGAAAAACAGGGTCATAAACTGTAAGAAAATGAGATTAGTTTCAACTAGTAATTGTTTAATTTCATTTCAAAATCAAATTTCTCAGTTTCTCAGAAAGATTGCTGTTTTACCAGTAAAAGTAGGTAAGTAGTGGAGAAACTGACTTGTACGACTACAGGAAGGGAAGAACAACTCAGAAAGAGATGTAAACATCTTTATTCAATTTTTTTAGATGTCAGCGTTTTCGTGTTTCTGAAAGTAGGAGTGGCGGGCAGAGTCTTCGGCTATCAGGCTCCAATAAGACTTATAAGACTATCTTAAAACTTTCCTTTTAGATAAACGTATACAATATTGGCATGTTTTATTATTTTTAATGAATTTATTATTTATCATTCAGCTCCCAGCCTCCAGGAACCACAGCTGGATAAGCAGTTAGGGAAAGGATGGATGAACTGTTATTGGAGATGTGAAGTTTTATGTTTGGAATATATGTCAAATTCAATAAAAACAAATTAGTAACAGTTCCTACAATTATTCAGATCAGTTTTCCATCTTTCTACAGTCTACAGTTTCTCCTCTCTCCTGTTGGGAACTTCCTCTCTGATCCATAAAAAGAATTTTCCTTTCATTCCTGCAGCCACTTAAAGTGGAAAAATGTTCAGGACAGTTATTTTCCTGTAGCCATGGGGATGTTACTGTCCTAGTGTGACCATAGTTACAGTTGTGATGAAGAGCCTATCCACTGTTGCCAAGCCATGCTCGTTTGATTTAGATCCGGCCGAGTGAGAGGGGAAAGAGGGCAGGACGTGGCCGGAGTCCAGGGGATTTCCTGTGCGTGTGATTGATTCCTATCTGCAGAGCTCAGAGACACATTGGCTGATGTGCTAATGAGAAAACAAGTTGGAGAAGTTTTCGACAGAAATATATTGTTCCTTTTAAACAATGATGGAAAACCACAGAAAAGAAGAATATTAGATTCACTGCTGCAACCACCGACCACAGTCGTTCCTCTCTGCAGCAGCTGAAAGAGTCATAAAAGGAAGCTTCATACCCTTTTCTACAATTGGAAGACAAAATTGTGTTTTCACATCTATAACAATATAGACTGAACTTCCACCAAATGCTCGCTAGACACAGCAAATAACATCTTTCTGCAGCTGTTGAACTGCTGACATTCCCACATATTTGCTTTCAGTTGTATGTCTTTATACACTCAAAGCATCCAAAGTATCTGGATGATGATTGATTTCACTCAAAGAAATATTTAAAGCTTATAGTTGTTTTATATCTTCAAAGGTTTGTCAGGTCCTCATCACTTTGCTAATAATTCAAGTCTCTGTTGATCCTTATGTATCACCCCTCTCTCTACATGTAGTAATATTTGACCTTATAATTCTTATTAATGGTTCCTTAGTTTCTGGACTTTTTTGTTTCCTTTGTTAAAAATTAAACAAACCACAAGGCCAGATTCCAATATAATATCCACGTGTTTGGCCTTGTTGTGGCTCCATCCCTTTTTTTTTCTTTTTTTTTTTGACTTTATGCAGTAAAGCTGCCTTAACATTAGCACTGAATGGAATCAAATGTTACATTAGCTAATGTTAAGCCAACATTAAGCTAACACAGCTACTGGTAACATGAGTAACAATGCACTTCTTTTAGATCAGAGGTGTCAAACTCATTTTAAACTGACACACACACATAGCCTTATTTTATCTTAAACTATTTGCTAATATTCTACATTTACTGTAACAAAGTGTAACATTTAATAAAATAAAAAAATTTTTACTATTTAATTTGTAAAAATGTGTATACACACACACACACACACACACACACACACACACACACACACACACGTAGGAAAATATTTAGTATACACATCCAGAAATGCATACACTATTATATATTGTACATATATTTATTAGTTTCAGGTTGGCCATTCTTGTATTTTGCTCGTTTGTGTTGTTGTGTTTGCACATCTCTGTTGCTTGTGGGGCTCGCACACAAGAATTTCACTCGCATGTGCTGTGCCAGTGTGCCTGCACATGTGATGTGACAATAAAAGTGATTTTATTTGATTTGATTTGACAAACCAGAGGATTAAAAACCTAAGATGGCTTAAAAATGTTTCCCTGCCTGTATGCAAGTATGGTTCCACCTCTGTGTGTTTCACAGAGAAATCATTAGGTCAGTATATTATGAGTATATGAAAAAGTCTTATTTCTCAGTCACCTTGTAATTTTCTAGGACATTGAAAAAAATCATGATAGTAATACGCTAGTTCTTGTATTTCTGACACAGAAATGGCCATGGTAAGAGGCTGTAAGAGAATTAAACTGGGACAGACAGTGTAGAGTAATTTACTTTCTCTGTCCTCTCTCAGAAGCAGTGCAGTTTATCATTTTTGCAGCTGGTGGGAGGTGCCTGAAACTTGAAATTACAAACAATCGACAACAGGGGTCAGTGATGTTCAAGGTTTAAGCATAACAGATCACTTTCACCCTGCTCATCTGAGTGTTTCTCAATATCCACCTTTTTTCAGTCAATCTGCACCCCCACTGTATATTAATGTTCACTTTTGCATAACATGGCCTAAATGAGGCAAGTAAACTAGCCTCTAACACACTTGTGTTCTGCAGATTGTAAAGATATTTTGGAGTCTTCTCAAACTTCCTCATATTTGAGATAAAGAGATGAAGATACATCACAAAAAAAGGTTCTCTGTTTTTGTAACTGTTGTTGCACAAGTATTCAACAAAAGTGAACTTAAAGAAAGAGACCAGCTGTTTGAAAACAGGTCAACAAAACAGGTTAAATTGGGTTTTTTTTGTCTAACACATTAAACAAAGCCAGTGAAAGCCTACATATTTGTCCTACATATTTGCTAATAGATAGCAGAACATGTTCACTCTCTATTAAAAACTGATACCAGTCTGATATTTTGTCAGTGTTTTCAGCTGCTCCAGTGCTGAAAACACTAAATGCTATCTGCACATAAATGCATCCTTCCCTTGTGTAAAATGTGAATCACTCTTGGTGTTGTACTGAGCCTGTCAGGTATGTGTGCTCCTGCACTAAGACAGATCCCCGTGCATGCGGTCACCTTGTAGTTTCTGCTGTTAAATGAAGCAGACGCCTGACTCTTCTTCTACAATTATTCCAAATAAAACTAAGCTTGCACATAAATCACATTTGTCATCTGTGCCTCGGGAGAAACAGACTGCAGGTTCTGTGTCAAATATATAAAGCATTTGTCTGTATATATGAGAAGGTAGAAAATCTCATTCCTCTGTGTCACATGCTGTGTCTGGCTCCTTGCAAACACACCGCTTCATTTTTACCCTGGAAGGAATTCAAACAACGATGGTACAGTTTTAAAGACTATGGAAACTATGAAGACTCATGACACAATTTTGCAAAACTAATTAGAGTCCTGCTAGAGCCCTGGCAAACATTCATATCTTGCAATGCAGTCTTGCTGGTGCAAAGTAGGCAATTACTCACAATCTGTGCATTGCATCCTTGGTAAACCAAAACTGAAAACTGAAATGTTGCTTAATGCTGTGAAAGCCACTTGAGGCTGCAGATGTTTTAGGTTATATTTTTCTTCAGTGCTGCACACATCATGCTGCTGATAAGTAACATGGCTTTCAGTCACCTCTTTTAAATTCCACACATGCCTCACATATCCCTACATTCATCCCCCTAAGGTCCCATCTTTTTATGGCCTTGGCAAGTGGCCTTTATTGAGTGAATGAATGTTCATAATTCTGCACCTGGACATGCAGCAAAATGAGTGGAGACATGCTGCTAGGCGTCCACATTTCAGTATTAAACACTCTTGTTGTTTTTCTGCACACACACCTGTTTTTTTCTGCATTAATAAAACAGCTTTACACACACGCCTATTACTGTGTAAACCTGCACTGGCTTCTTTATACAGCCCTAGCCTTGCTCAAGGGCACCTTGGTGAATTGTTCAGGCTTTTATTTCTCTGCCTTCATATTCATCCAACCTTCCCCCCCAGCCCCGCTGCTCCTAAACACCGCCCCAGTCTTGGTTGCGTCGCACTCCCCCATCTGTCACATCAGGCTCCGCTAAATCTGACGTGTTTTTCGCATTTCCTGCACCAGAGAGAGAGAGAGCGCGCGCGAGAGAGAGACGGAGACACACAGCGGTGTCGGGAGGCTGTGTCCACTGGAAATTGAGCTCAAACAGCTGCACTGGACTGACACCAGGCCGTGCACCAAGCAGCAGGAGCCCGTTTTGACACATCCACCCACCGCCCCCCTTCTCTCCGCCCCTGCTGCGGTCGTTACCGGCCGCTGTCTGGTTCGCAGCTCGAACATCTCCAGTGCGCCGCGGCGGCTGGCAGCAGGTATTTGGAGCCTCCCACCCTCCGCACGGTGCAATGCAACGCAGGCCAGTGCTTCCAGGGAGCCCCGCTGCAGCTAACAGAGCTTTTTAATACCTCGAAGGTAAACACCATGACAGAGCGACTCACATCTGGGGCCTCTGCTCGTATGTGCGCCGTAGCTATTCATGTTTCTTCCGTGCACTTCTGAAGGCTTCCCGGGCTAACGGTCGCTTTTCCGCCACTGAAGTTCAGTTTCTGGGGGGAAATTTTGTAGCATAATCGACAAGTGCAGACGTTTCGAGACACGACAGCAGCTTGGTGTGCTTGGTGACTGCACTCTCTCCTTCATATCGGAGTGGAAGGAACACGCTCTGCCCGGAGGACCACCGGTTGAACGGAGCTGTTATTCAAAGCGCTAAAGCACGGTTGATTTGGGGGTGTTTGAGGTGAAAGGTGTCCTGTGGTTTTACTGGAAGCGCGTTTCATCGCCATGGTGGTCTTCAACGGGCAGCTGAAGATCAGGATCCGCGAGGCTCTGGACCTCAAACCCACAGCTTGGTCCCTGCGTCACGCCGTCGGTCCCAAGACTCAGACCTTCCTCCTGGACACGTACATCGCCCTCAACGTGGACGACTCTCGCGTGGGCCAGACCTCCACCAAGCAGAAGACCAACAGCCCCACGTGGAATTACGAGTTCATCACGGAGGTCCACGACGGCCGCAAGATAGAGCTATCAGTTTTCCACGACGCGCCCATTGGCTACGACGACTTCGTGGCCAACTGCATCATCCAATTCGAGGACATCCTGCAGAACAGCAGCAAGCACTTTGAGGACTGGGTAAGACACCTGAAGCACACACAGTGGGAGTGATAGTCGAACAAGGTGCTCAGACCTTCTCTGTCGTAGGCAAACGGACCTCAGTGGAAAGTTTTCCAATGAATCAGTTAATCACTCTTTTTCCAATCACAATTCTCCCGGGAGTCTGGCAGGAAGCAGACTATAAGTAGTCATATAGTTGCAGGGATTTACACCTAAAAATACAAGCTGTGTGTTCCATCATATTACATAATCTACAGACTCTATATAATAAGACAGGACCAACACTTAATAATACAGAAGGCTTAGCTAATGTTGTTTTTAATTTAATTTTATTTATATAGCGCCAAATCACAACAGCAGTCACCTCCAGGCGCTGTATATATAATCTAAAGACCCAACAACAGGGGTGTCAAACAAAGCAGTTCTGGATTACTTTGGAAAATGTGAAGGAGAGGATACATTTTAACAAGTTTTACAGCTTTTCCTACTGTTAAAGACTTCCCCTCGGGCCATTTACAATACACCAAATTGAATCCCAAAGAGTCACACTCACAGATTCCTTTCATTTACTACAGCAGCATTTTTTTTTATCATGTAGAAAAACTGAGACATACTGTTAAAATTGCACTTTTTGTCTTATATTAAGATACCTAATTGATTACATTTTTAGTTAAACTTCTTTACACTAACAGAAATTTGATTTTTATCAGTCCTTTGTCTGGAACATGATATCAACGTGAGCTGTATGTGCCCGCGATGAAAAATGTTTTTTATGTGGCTGCTCCACAATAAATGAGAGAAAACCCCAACACCCCCCTTTGAGACAGGACAAATAAATAGATAAATAAATAAGTAAAATAAAAGATGCAGTGTGGAAGAGAGGCAGAGATGAATAACTAGTGAGTGCATTTTTCAAAAGCAAAGTGCAGTTAACCAAAATGACCCACCATAAACGTGCATCGTTTTAGGGTTTGACATCCTGATGCCTGAGAAGCTTTGACCGCTCAGTATTTAGTGTGTTATCTTGATAAATGATTAATTGCTTTTAACTTGATAAATGATTCATATTCAGAACAAGTGGGAGTCAACTAATAGATTAAGTGAAGATCATTTGCTCATCATCTCGATTTCAAGTTCAAGCCCTGCCCTTTTAGACATGTTCACAATTGAAAGTAAACATCTACTTGCAGCGAATGATAGCTGTAAAGTGTGGATGCCAAGAAAAAAAAGTAACTTTTCCAACTGGCTTTTTCAGATGGAAAAGTTATGGGAAAGATCCCCACCCCAGTGTGTTAAATACTGCCACATGGAGCTGGCATCACAAGATGCATCACGGTGTCCTATTGTATGGTGCTTGGCGCACGTGCTGCAGCATTAGTGGATGAAGAGAGAGAACTGATGTCTTAAAAAGCTACAAAGGCTGCGTTTGGAAAATGGAGAGGTGGCAGTAGATTAAGACCATAGACTGTATATAAAAGATGGTCAAAGATTGATTTCAGACTCTCTCTTTTGAACTCTCAGCGTTAGTGTTTCCTAAACCCACATGCTGCTTTTTTGGATCCGGAAATGATGAGCTGGTGGAGCGCTAAATTATTAGCCCAGGTCTGCGAGCTGCATCTATAAACTGTACAAGTGCAACGTACAGACAGGGTAATTAATGCTAAGTAACCTAAAAATAAAGTACAAAAGTTTGACTCACAAAAACCTAAACACAGTTTTTTATTTTGGGTAGTATTATTTTTAAGATAATTTCACTCCAAAGGCATCAGTACCAGTAAGTCAGTTTCAGTGACTTCAGTTAGTGGAGGTTAGGCTCAGCAGACGGCTGCTGGCCACAGAGCCTTGTGTGGGCACACCTGTCAATCAAAGCAGCCATGTTCCTAGGTCTAGGCTGCACCAGTATCCAGGTGGATGAATTATACAAAATTCTCATCACCCAAAGAAACCCATAACTATTTATCATAACAGAATGTAAAATATTTAGTTCTGCTTTAATTTAGGACATTTTAACATGTGAGGACTTCTGTAGCTAGCTTCAAGTGGCCATTAAAAGAAACTTTCTTTTTTAGCCTCGGAGGTTTTTGCTGCAGAGACTGTGGTTTGCATTTTAGCGTGTTGAAGAAAGACATGGTGAAAGAAGAAGAGCAGTGCTTGGGTTAAAATTTTAAACTCACCTTCTCACCACTGATGATGTACATTAAATGACTTATAATGTGATTCCAGATGGTCCTTTGCAAGCCTCCGTATAGGACGAGTTGGGAATATGAAACCCTTTTCACTATTTCCTAATGCAGCGATGGGACACCTTGTGCGTATCTTTGAGATCTTGAAATGACTGTTGCTGTGAACTAGGTAAACAAAGTTGGATTGAGCAGATCTCAACCTGCAAGTCAACTGAACAGAGCAGATGACATGGGGCATAAGAGTTTAGCATGACACTAGCTCATTCAAACATTCAAAAGTACAAACAAATATTTATATTTATAACAGCATTTATATTGTAGAAGCTCATGTTCTTACCATGAGCTGGTACATCAGTTTCCTTGACTCTTAGTTTATTTGTTCCTCTAAAATGAACAAGTGGGAAAGTGACATAGTGTGTTATTAAATTGTTATGCTGTGTTAGCGAACAGTTGCTTATTTACACATCCAGCAGACATGGAACAATATGCTGATTCATATGAAGTCATGTTTTCTGTGCAGAGAACCAAACCAAGGGAAATGTCTGGCTCTGCTTCTGTTACATGCTCCTCTAGCTAACTTGACTGTCTTCAGCAGCTAGCCACATAACACTAAGAGCAGCTGAAAGGTGGTTAAAGACAAAATGCTGGGATGCAGGGACTTGTGAGCAGAAGCGACTCCAAACATGGTCACTGTTGGTGTTTCATCCAACTCTCACATACAGATATACAGTATATTGATACATCTACTGGAAAGACCACAGATCGCATCTTTATAAACTGTGCAAAGATGATCACACTTTTGTTGTACACTACAGGATCTCTGCAACCCAAACTCTGCTGTCCTGCAGCTAAGTTTAGCAGATGCACAACAGGGTTCGCTACACACACAATATAGATCCTGTTGCCTTTGTTGTGCTCTTGTTAGATGAACCAGTGACCTACAACAGAGCTACAAAGAGTGGATGCAGTTAGGCCAAATGCATGACACTCATGCACACATTCACAGAAGCATTGGGGAGCCGTCCATTGTTGTCTGAAGCCGCTGAAGCAAATAGTTGGTTGATTGTATTATTGATGAGGCCATCAGGTCCATTAGACACAGTGAGAGAGAGCTGGGAGAAGGACAGGAAGAGAGAAAGCAGTGGATGGAAACCTTTACAGAATGTTGCACTGTAGGACAGAGAAGGTTGTTCTGTGGGGGAGTGTGAAGTCTCATGTGTTAAGATTAAGTTCTTGACAGAAGGACTCGGAATACGAGACTCTCAGTGAATCTTCTGATGGGTTTAAATATTTCTGAGCTGTATCACATGTGCTGCCGGTGGACTTACACTATTTCATATCATTACATTTATTTCTGCTCGCTTGTTTGTTGTTCAGTCTCTCTGCGCTCCTCTGTTTCTGTCTTCACTTTCCTCTCATCCCACAGCCGGTCGTGGCAGATGGCTGCTCATCACACAGCCTTGTTCTGCTGAAGGTCTCTTTCTGTTAAAACTGAGTTCTACCTATTAACCATGGCCAAGTGCTTGTTCATAGGAATTATCGGATTGTTGGAGTTCTCTTGCCTAAAATATAAAGCAGCTGGAGATGACTGTTGTTGTAATCTGGTGCTATATTAAAAACATTTAATTGCCCTTAATGTTGTAGAATGTAGGGAATAATCAAACAGGGATGCTGTTATGACTTTTCTCCTCACTACTCACTAGTAACTCAAGTTAGATAAAATTCAGTTAAATTAAGTAGTAGTATTACACAATGTGCCTGTTGAAACTTTCTGCTAGTTATTATGAAACACAGAGTACTTTATCGAGTTCAGGTCTTTGTTAAACCTTCTTAAGTTGTTATATCAAGCAAAAAGTAAAGCATCATATTGACAAATCTCATTTAAGGTACACTATTGAAGCTACTCTAGCCTGCAAGTGGCAACCTCCAGAGCTCAAAAATGAAGCCAAAAAAGTGTGTTTCCTCTTGTAGCCACTCAAGGCTGACTCCTGAAGGCAAATCAGACCTTTCATGTGAAAATGCCCAACTTTTCAGCATCAAAACGCATGTTAACCAACAGTATGGCCACTGTTGATAACTTTAGCTTCTAAACTAGAACCGTTTGTGCTTTCGTTCCGTTGTAGCCTTATAATGAATTATCTTGCAAAAAACATGTGAGGCACAGCTAATCCAAGAAGTTTGTCCTTCAGTTTTTTGATGAGTGATATTTTATTAGTGTCTGTGCATTGTACAGTTTATGAATGGTACTTACTAAAAGTGTTTGCTAGCATTAGCTGGTAACCTAGCGCTATGCCTTCTCGTTCCAGTACGGTCACTTGTGATTTGTGCTAGTCTTGCTGCTTTTTTCCAGCCTCCAGCTCCATGTATGCAAGTAAAGGGCAAGAAAGATCGCAGAGGTATACCTCTAAATATAAATTACTACACATGAAAATAGTAATCTTCTTGAACTGCAGTAGTGCTTTTTAAGTCAAAAGGTGCTATACGGCTGTCAGCCTGATCCATTTTCATTCATCAGCATGACAGGAATTTTTCATCTTGATCCTCTGAGTCTTGCACCTTGTGTTTGCACTTGTTTTAAGGCACTCCCACGGGCGAACATGTCTCAACTTAAGCTACATCAAGAGTTATGTCAGCTTAGACAAAGAAGAACTAGATAACAGCGTGTGGGAACTAAGACTGTGTAATTTCCTCATGAGTAATGCTAACGTAAGCTATAAGTCTGTTGTGGAGTGTTTTTATCCTTTAAGCAGAGGAATTGCAAAGGCTCAGAAAGTTGATGTTTACTATAGTAGCTTCAAACCAATTCTTCACATCAAATAATTCCAGAATAACAAA